GTTTTGTGGCTGTTTTAATCTCTACATCTAAAAGTAATGGTTTGTTAAAAAGTCCAGAAAGCAGTTATTGAGCCTTTTGACAGTTTATCTTGGGTAAGGACTAAGAATGCCCTTTGACGTCTCCTTAAGATGTCTTTTAGTTAGTAGTAATGGAATGATTCTTATAATCACTCTACAGCAAATTAAATACAGTAGGTCACATGGAAATAAAAAAGTTTATGCTCTCAGTGAAGTGAGTGGAATGAACATGCTGTGTAGAGTGATATAATGTACTGTACATTGACAGAAGTTACAGGTAAGGGAGTTGAACTGTGTCCTTGAACTCATCACAGAGTTATTGCCTTTGGAATATTGAAAGCTACATAAACAGAAAAGGAAACTTGATTTGCAATTTAAAGTAGAGTTACAAACCTGTAATTTCTGATCGCCCATAGCTGCTATCTATAGCTTATAACAATTCTTATTCTTCTTAAAAGAAAAGCACCTTCTTTTAACATTTATTATTGATGCATTCTGAAAACAGCACTGTTACTTTCACATGCTGTATTGCTTTGAATTTGCAATACGAAATCGACAAGATAGTAAAAACTATTGACAATGACGGAAATGGATTTTCCACATTATTTGTTATGGGTTATTGGTGAATCTATTCTTATAATTCTAACAAAAGGTAAAATATGTGGCTTTTATTTTCTAAATCATATAAATATAGTATTTCATACTCGGAAATGATGATGAGTTTTTCATACACGGAAGCATTGGTTTGTGAAAGTCCAAGTTGTCACAGTGCATAACAAACACAGCTGCATGTGAATGGAAACCTGAGAACTTGAAGCATCAAACATCCAGTGTAAGAAAATTAAACTCAAATAAGGAATTCTACACACTAGATTAGTGAGCACAAAGTTGAATGGCAGTTCCACGACAGAACAAAGGTGAAATAGTTCAGCCTGTTATATACAGTACAGGAGTGGGATAGAAGGGTGCATTATTACCATGAACATTTAAAAAATGTTTGGCATCATAATGCTTTTTGAGTGTTAATGTGTGTGAGGCTTAGTACATTTGTGCTGACTAACTACAAGCAACACTTAAAAGTACCAGAGGTGGGGATTTAATTTTCTGCTTGTCTGAATATGAATATGAATATGACTTATACTGCATTTTTTTTCCCTCCATGTCACTTCTGTGATGGGAGTTTTGGACGTAGTTGTTTCAAATGTCTGTGCAAGGCAGTGCCAGCACAACTGATCTTAGAGCAGGTATACCACCCACATTGTAAGGTTATTAAAATGTTCTTTCAGATAAGAAATAAAATTGAAAAAGTGTCTGAACATCAATTACTGTGCAGAGTAAAGTGATTTATTGGTTTAACGCCAAAAAATCTACAAATTAAAGACGCTTGCTTAGAATGTATAAAATGTTGGGGGTTTTTTTTCAAAACGGCACCATAAGATAACAAAAAACATACATTCTCTTTGTTGTAAATTCATTTCTAGGTAATTACATAGCAATTTTTAGTCACTGCTTAACAATGGTGGCATTTTCAAATGTACTGCTAATTGATGCCTCCTTATGAACATGGCACTATAAATAAAAAGGTGTAACAAAAGACAGATTATAAAAGGAAAGCATATTCCTTCTCACTATAGTGTGCTGAAATAGAAAGAAGGGCATAAACTCATTAGTTTTTTGATGATATGCAGCTGAAAGAAGACTGTTTACGCACCAGCGACATTAAAAAAGCCTTAATAAATAAAAGGAATAAATAATGTCAAATAGATAGTGACTTCTATCACAGCTAGGCAATCTGCATGTTGGCATTCACAGCAATCTTTGTGCTAAACCTAAAGCCAGCATTGTGGCAGTTTGCATATTGCCTGACAATCTTCTGTCATATGCATCCAGGGATGTGACTTTCCATGCATGCAAAGGGTTCTGAAAATAATAATGTGTCAGTGATGTTTGGTGTAATCTCTCCCTTGAATCAAGGTTGTACCTCCTCATTGCACATACTGTATACAATGACCGTTGCCATATTCTCTACAAGAGGCATCTCATAATTGGAAATTAAGGAGATTGCCAGTTCCGTTTCCATCACTGATTGTGGACGGAGGCAAATCAGTTTGGGTTATGTGCTTTTTTGTTGTTATCAGAGCTTGTTATTAGAACAAAAAATAGCAGTATTGCTCAGAGGCTTCAGTATTATTACCCAGCAGGAGAAAGCTATTTGGAGTCTTAGTTTAAAGGGATCTAAAACCAGGCTGCTATAATAAATGGCACTTTTGTTTTCTCCTTTGGAGTTAGAGTAAAAGTGAGAATTTCTGCTTAACTGAACCATTAAACACCAAATAAGTGTGTTCTGCTGTTTCCCTTAAAAGTAGTAAATAGGTTTGTCTGAACCAAAATTGTCTTTGCACTGTTGTTCTTGGTAATATGTGAAGTGGAACTGAAGTATTGCATTCCTTGGCTAAAGAAAGACTGTGCACACTGTAATAATGAACTACATCTTTAAAATTTAACAGAAGGCAAAACCTGATAAACAGTAATCATAAGTAAATGGACATATCAGAGTTTGCTGGCAATGTATTTTACCTGACAATGCTGTTTGACTATAACAGACAATTAAAATGCTTTTTTTTAAATTCATTTTTAATTCTGCATTCAGCAGAAAGTTCTACAATTTATCCCTCTCAAAGCACAAAAGATTCATAACCACACTCAGAAGCACCATATATCCATTCAAATTTACTGTAAATATATGGGAACACAGAGAGGGATCCAGGCAAAATGGATTACCTTAAGACCACAAAATCTCAGTTTGTTGCAGAACTTTGACTGGGCCTCCATTTTTCATCCTAAACATATCTCCACTTAATTTCCACAATGTGTCCATCTTTCATGTTTGATCTTGAAATAATCCTTTGGATTTTGGATTGGTTTAAAAACTTAAATATTACCCCCTCACAATCTGGTGTGCTGATATTTAAAGGCTATTGGTTTTTACTCAAATCCTGCATGTGACATAGTGAATGTTAATCATAGTTGGGAGGGTCTCAAGACCAAAGAGTGGCTTGTACCAATAGTCAAATAGGATTGAACCCATTGAAAGATTTCAATCCTCAGAGCTATTGTTTATCTTTACCTTGTTTAAATTGGAAAGTAGAGTGCAGTAAAGAGGAATCTGACAAGGGATCTCAATCCACAACATTTTATCAGAAATAGGAATGAATCAAACATATCTTTGTATTTTTGTGTAAAAAACAACTGTATCACCAAGAAACATACAGTTACAGTAGACACGTATACAAGAATAGTGGAAACTGCATTCTCCTCTTATTGTGGTGACTTCATCACAGATCTTCATCTGTGTTAGTATTAGATATCCAAGTACTGAGAGAAATCATATTTACACCTCTTGACAGTATGAGAATTTTATCCTCTGAAACAGGCATTCCCACTGATGACCTTAATTTCCCACAGTTTACCTTATTGTCTCTTACTCAGAAGCATACAGTTCCTTGTTTAAAAAAGTAAATACTAAATGACAGAATGCAGTATGAGAAACTTTGCCCTGTAATTTAATCCCGTGTCTATAAAAGTGAATGGCTTCAAATGGTATCATTAATTTGCTGTAAAAATATACAATTATGCATTATTTAGTAAAAGATATGTCTTCATTTTATACCATGGCAGTTTTGTTTCAGTGGTGAGGGAGTAAGAACAGGAAACCAGATACCTTTCTTATCAGAGATTATAGAGCCAAAAATACCATTAAGGAATGTTTTTAAAAATGTATTGGTTGTATGTTACTAGGTGTTTTATGTGGTGTTGAATCTTTATGTACAGCCTAAAGAGCCATTTAACTGGTCAAGATTTGTTTATTCCCGGAGAACACCTGCAGTGGTCTGGCAACTTGACAAGAAGGAAGCAGCAGTCCTGCTTTATGCAATCTATATACTGTAGGGAGTGGGATAAAAGAACAGTAATATACAGCACATATTTAGAAGGCTAAGAAGCAAATGTTTCTGTGTTTTGTTTTCCAACTTTCATTTGAAGTGAGAGGCTGAATTTGTTTACATCCTTTTTAGTAAAGCCTAGGGATGAAGATTATTTTTATCTGGAGGCTTGGTGTGGAAGTAAAGAGAAAAAAAAAACATCTATAAATACTGATATGAGGATGGGACCACAAACAGTTCAGAGGATTCCTGTGAGTCTTTCTTGCCAGAGATTGAAGACAGCCTGTAATTAATTTTGCATGGTTTCTTTCTCTTTATTTGCATTTTTGTTGTTTTGAAGTAGACTCTTTAGGAAGGAATTGAATTTCTAGGCATGAACGACTTTGATGCGTTAAGTACTATCCATCTCCTGATGTAAATTTCCGTGTGGGGTATTGAAATTTAATTGATTTTCTGGGGTGGGGTGGAGGTGGGGGTTTGGAGCTGTAGTTGTTATGGTTGTTGCTGGGCAACAGGCTAGAGAGCTAAGAATGGAATGCTCCCAAAATGCAGCTGGTATTGGCCCCAAAGCCATTGCTCTTCCTTCTTCCCATAACCTGCTCCTTAACTCCACATCCCTTTTGGAACTCTTCGGCTACACAAGCAGCATATTACCTCAGCCTGATGTGTTGTAGGCCAGAAGAGAAAACAAGGGTGTATGGACATAGAGAATACTAGAGGTCCACTTTTGCAGAAAATCTCACTAAAAACCTATAGTACGAGCCCAGAACCCTGCTTTGGAAGTATACAGTCCTGCTCTGAGGGTTTCCAAGAAAGCTTATTTAATCCCAAGGAGTTTTGTTCCAACATTATGGAACCCACGCATATTTAAAGACGTACACTACATGCCAGTTAATGAACAGCCAGAAAACCTCAAGATCATTGACACTCTGCGTCAATGGAGAGAGAAATGATAAAATGTATCGCCTTAAAGTTTAAAGTGTTGTTCGATAATAATTTACAGTACCAGTCTGATCATTTCTTTTTAAAAATTATTCCCAGGAACAGGCTCAGCCTCAAATGGAACATCACCAAGCAAACAAGAAACCAACGATATCAATGAAGGTGAGACTTGGGAGGGGAACAACATGCAATATAGACTTACTGTGTAAATTAGACAGATTGGAAAGGTGTTTCTGATACAGAGTTCATTTTGTGGTGTTAGAGTCAAGCAGAAAGCATTGGTGTTGATTTTTATTTCTTTAGCATTAATTTGAAAATTATAGTTCACCCCAAAAGCCAGGTACAGATGGGGTCGACTTCTGGGGGTACAGTCTATCAGAACCGTTTTGGTTTCTAACTATACATTTATGTTTTCTTTTCCCCCTGAGAGCACCCAGTCTTCTAAAACCCTTACTTGACACTGTTATTAGCAGTAACCTGCTGGATCAGCTCTTTGATTTCAGTCACAACTTCACTTGCAGTATGGTGTACAATCTTCAAAGCCAGTATAGATTTAGAAGACCTTTTCAGATAAATTTATCACTCCTCCAGGCCAGTTCAAAATATGAGCCTGACACGATTCCATGGACCTGATTTGATTTATTAGAGAACAGAGAAAAGCCTGTCACTGACTTGGAAATGGTGGTTGACTTATGCTGGGCATCCATCTAGAATAAAAATAACAAAGCACACAATTAAAAACAATAAAATTGGACTGACGTTTGTTTTAGAAAGCGTTTCTCTGCATATAACACTGCATATTAAAAATACTTTTGGAGATGAATTCTGTTGACAAATGCTTTCATGAAAACCGGACTGCAATGTATGCATTTTTATATGACAATTTGATTTCCTTTCCCAGAAACGAGTGTATCAGTAGTTTAACAGCAGCTATAAAATAACTGATGGTGTGTAATGGATTTGAAGGTGTGTGTCACTTTGTTCTTGACAAATAAATGACTTGTAGGCCTTCTTAAAATTTTAATACCCCAGTGCAAAATAAAACAAATTCAATTTAATCTTTGTTAGTGTTTCCAGGAAAATCAGAATTTCCTACTGAACTGTTTCATTATGAGAAAGAAAAGGATTGATTTGAATTTTTAATACAGAGCCTTGTTTTCCCAAACCAAACTTAATTGAATGAGGTGCAATTATTTTTACCTATTATCTTATTCTGCCATAGGGTCTGTCATTCTGTTTCTTGTCTGACACCAGGAAGAATTCCATTCTGTTCTCGAACTAGGACCATAATGTACAGTATGATCTGTAAACCTACAACACTACCCAGACAGGAGTGATTTCAGTCATAGGACTGTTACCTACCGAACATTCGAAGCAGTCATCCAGCAGCAATGATTTGCATCTAGAATCAAAGACCTAGAAAAACAAACATTACATAAACCCTACCTTAAACAGTGGGATTAGGGAGAAGCTCTTCCATTGGACCTAGAACTAAAGCCAAGTTCCCTGCTTGTTCAACGGTGCGGTTGAGGATAAAACCACTCAAAAATATCTAACACACAGTAATGCTTTTTAATGAAGTTTAACTTTGCTGTTAAGAATGTATTGTATATCAAATGGCCTATACCTGCCATTTTATTTCACAATTTGTTTTCTAAAAATCTTTTTATTCACCTCATATTCTGCAAAGCCCCCCAACAGACACAATGAAGAAGAATGTCCTGTGTTTTTGAGAAATTCCAGAAGGAATTGCTTATTTTTCCATCTGATCATTTTCTGTTTATTCTTATATAGTATGTGTTCCATGGTTGGCTTTTCAGTAAATGTCTTTAACCAAATAACTTATTTGGTGCATCTTAACCACTGTGCTTCCAGTTGAAACCTCAATACCAATCTGAAAAATCCCACCTAGGGGACTGGATGTGCAGCCCCCCAGTCTTCAGGCAGCAACCATAGGATTTTAGCTCCAACAATGTAGAATATAAATTTTACCTGCATGTTAAAGTGTGGCACCCAACAGAATTTTAGAAAGTGTTATTTGAGAGCTGTAATTTCCTCTTTTTTCTCTTTGATCTCTTACAGCTGAAATGAACACTCAAGTAGAGGACTCACAAGAATTTGAATCAACTCCAACAGAAAACAGTCAGTCCAAAGGTAAGAAAGAAAAGAAAGCAGTCCATCTTTTCGATCAGTTTCGTATGTCAGCTTCAGTATCCTTAGTAGCTGGCTCAGCTGTTAATTTTGAATTCAATCTAGGCTGAAAAAAAGAAACCTTGTCCCCTTTGGGGGGGATTTTGTAACAGGAGCTGTTTTTTAAGGTCACAGCAAACATCTTCTCTGGTAGCTGAAAAGCCTTCTTGTATGCTCATTTCACAGTGTACTGTCAAATTATTGGTACTGTTCTCGATATTTGTCATAGTGCATTAGCATGCGTTCATACTTACATTACACAGATAAGTGAATATGAGCATTATTAGACACACAATGATGCATAAAATAACTCCTCCTTGAAGGTACATTGTGGCCATTAGATTATAGGTCTTCTAGGTCTTTTTATATTTAATACAAAATGAAAGCACAATAAAAAAGATCAAGGATCAAGGATCTTCTGCTTTGTTTCATTCACACTTTCAAAAATATTCAGCAGATCACGGTTGTTTCTGCTGGATTCTCAGAGACAGAGCTAAGGTGAAAAAAGAATAATTGTTATGCAACAAAATCATTGTTTTTATTTTTTGAGTCAGTGAATATGTCACTTTATAAACAGTTTAAAGGACATTTTTAGTAATTATTTTCCAGCCTGCTGTACATTTTAACAAAGAATTGAACATAGTTATAGTACATCAAAAAGTAAATAAAAAGTAACATTTTTATGTTTTTAAAGAAAATACTGTACATCACATACTGTATCCATGTATTGATTGATATACTGCATAACTTTTTATCAGCATGAAATTATGAGCTATTTATTTGGGGTGCTAAGCCTAAACTGAGAATCCAAGTACATTTTCAGATTACAGTCATATAAATCAGAAAGCTTTACCGTTGAACTGCAAGGAAAATATATAATTCTTTATGGTACTGAGAAGTACTTGCAAATTGGTCCATGAGGTATTGTAATCATAATGCAGTAGTAAAAGTGGTGTATAATGTTCTATTTTGTTGCACAAGTTGTGATGTGGGTCTAATGCACTGCATTGTGGTTGTAACTCAGTAGTTACGTTGGTCTAGTGTAACATGGCCATACTATATACAGTGCCCTCAAAAAGTGTTGGGTCAAAACTTTAGCTTTATAGCCAAGTAATTTCTATGTGTGATCTTGAAATTAAAATGAATGATAAGTTCAATATAATATACAATTTATTTTAAGCTTATTCCATGCCTACTGTACATTGGATTAAAAACATACTAATTTCAAGTATCATAAGTACTGTATAAAAGGCAGTGTTTGGTTGATTCCAGAAGCAACGCACTGAAGTGGTTAATTCACATTGAGTGACTTAACAGAAAACTATAAACTTCCAGGATTTTATAACACTGTTGCATGTAGTTCATATCAGATACTGTACTATACTGTACAGTACATGGATATAGTAGAAAATTATTGTATATAAAGGTCATTTGAATCCTGCTACTTTTGACATTTTGTACATTTTTACAATCATGCTGACTATGTAAAATTTGTTTTAAGTTTAGCTTAAGCACAGTAACTGAAATACTATCCCCTAAATGTTAATCTAATTCAGATTTCAAATAAAAAGCTGATCATTTGTAATATACAGTATACACATTTCTTTCAGAAAATCTTACCAGATGACTGGAACGATTTCTCTCCGTTACTCTCTGAAATACTGCTAAGGAATGGGTTAAATGTCCAGCAATAAAAATATCCGCGCTAAGGTAACTGCAATTCTCTGTGCCTGCCAATCTGAACCAATCTTTCTTGTTTCTTTTCACACAGATTATGTGGGCAAATTGAAGGACCCATGAAGAGGCTAAGAAGGCAGTTTGAATGCATTTTGAGAGACGTCAGATTGTGTGAAGGCACACATTTCACCAATATGTACACACTGGGAGGATTCTTATAGGCTAGGAAGATGGAGTATGAATTCATTAACGTTTATGTATCATGATTTTTAAAATCGCTTTCCTTCATATATAAATATATCTATAAAAAACATATCAGAGGTTTTGTAGGTGAATGATGTTCAGAATGAAATCATATGCTTAGCACTGATTGCAGTTGCCACAAGCTATAAAAAAGAATATCCTTTGGCTAGATGATGACGTTTTGTGTCAATGGTGCATCTGAGAGTAGATAAGCCGTCCTGTTGCTTATACTGTATTGTTCTGGAGCTATGTATGCCAGTGACTGCCAATCGTCCATACTCAGAGCACATCTACGTTAAATTTTCAGTTCATCTACAACATTAAAGCTTGCAGCAAGAACAAGAAATGCAAATGAAAATACTCTGAGCTGAGGTAAAAGACACACTTAACACATTCTAGGAATTCACCATGCCTTTGAAAAACAAAGACAGAAACCTTACTACTTCTTGTAGTTGTTAACTTATTCTCTGGAAGTCTGAGTTATATACAGACGTTCAAGAACAAGTGGCTAAGGTAGGAGCAGAAACAAAATAATTGTGGGTTTGTCACTTCTTTTAACAACCATCATTCTAAGATATGGTGCATTGTTGCATACGCTTACACCTAAAACAGATTGTGTAAGCCTGTCTCAGATGACAAAGTATTTCAAAATAGCTTTCATTATAAAATGTTTTAAAGTGCATTGATTCATTATACCTACATTGCAGCAACGTGTATAGCTTTTTGAAAAAGAATTGTTCATTATTTTGGGGAGCTGATGCTGTTTAGATTTGTATGTTTCTTAAAGCAAAATCGTTCTTTATATGCATATTTCTGCTGCATGCTTGCTTTGCTTTTGACTTTGGTTACAAAAATAGGTTTCATTATACCTTTTCTGAGTTGAATGGGTTGTTCCTTATTCTTGGATTTGCCTTATTTGATAGGTTACAACACAGTCACAGAAAATAATTAAATCAAATACATAGAAAAAACAATTTAAGTTCAATGTTGTAGTGCATTGCTTGCAAATGAGTTGTAACTATTAGTACCTAATGTGATGGCTGATGCCTTTTTTAAGTTGTGACAATTTTCTGGTTTGTTAGTTTTCTCTTTTTCCTGTTTTTTCTTATTTTTATCTCTACCATACTTATGATTTTATTAAAACAACTGATGCCTTCATACTATGATGTTTGTTAACAAAATGACAAAAAAATAAAAGTGAACGTTGATTCCATGCCTGAATACTTGTTATTCTGTAAAATGTTCGTTATTAAATGCCGTGAGAACTAATGTCCTACATTTCCTAAGTCTTTTTATTTCTGAAGTTTTTTTATTCCTTAACTTTCAGTTGTTATATCGTATGCAAGTTAGGATATCTTATATCGTGCTGTTAAGCCCTAATTTGAAGCAAATATTTGGAAGGTGTTTTTAATATACACAAAGAAATACTTGGTTTTTCAGAAGTGTCCCAAAGAAGTGGAACATGTCACCTTCTTTAACACATCTTGGGTATCACCTTTCCTACCTTTTTTGCATCACCAGAGAAATCCTTTAGTTTTACCCTGCAAGAAGCTACATTCCAAAAATATTTTCAATCAAGGATGTTTTCGTGGTAAAGGAGGATAAAAATAAACAGAACCTTTGTTTCACTTTCCTTATGCTTTTCTCCATTGACATGCCATGGCCTTTTCCATCCATTTTCCAACAGCGGGCCCTCAGGCCACTTTGTGCAGTGTCTGAAGAATCTAGCAGCAGCCTGCAAGCCAATAAAGGAATTGTCAATCTGTCTTTCTGAATTGATGACTTTAGCTAAAGGGGTTATTTGCAGAGCAGTATAGATAGTATGGTGCATTCAGTCATTCGGTTAAAAAGAAAAGCGGTACACTTACTTAGCACATTTAGAAAATCAGACCTCAGGTTCACTTTGCTCCAAACTATGCCTTTCCTAGTAGTTTTCAATTGGCAATTTATCCAAAGTGTGCTACCGTTAGTAATTCAAAATGGTATAGACATCAGAACTGCAAATATATAATAGTAAGTGCTGCAAACTGAAATAGCACTCCCAACACAGACAAAGCAGACGTTTCAAAAGTAATCTAATATATCCGAAATCATGTTTAAATATTTTTTTAAAGCCGCAGACTATCTCTACTGACCCGATGGCGACACATTTATCATCTCAAGTAACTTGTGTTATCTGACACAAGGACTCAAATTGAATCAGAACCAAGAGCATCTTTCTCCTAAACTATAACGGCAAGTGATAAAAATAATATGAAGGAGCTGAACCAGAACTGAACCAATTAAAAAAAGTTACTGGTTTATGGTTCGGTTGCTTCAGTTTGTCCTGCTCTCGCCTAAAAAAAAACCTGCACAAACTTTTTTCAGTGCGATTGCCATCTGTTCCACTAGGGTGATGTGATGACTGCAGCAGTTAACCCTGCATCTTTTAAAATGAATAATGTATTCCCCAGCAGCATTTTCTTAAAGAGAGAAATCCATTCTGTACGTGAAACTTGCTGCATAGGTTTGTGCCCTTTGTTACGGCAACATTTTGAACTTTTTCAAATTTTTAAGAAAAGATGATACCACTTAAATCAGGAATTTTCTTTACCCCTCGTTAAGATCAAATTAAGAATTACCACTTGGATAGGACTCAGGAGACCTCCAAAAAACTCCAAAAGAACCAGAGGAGTAGGGTGTCACATTACGGTTTGACCGCTTTGTTAGAAAACATTTTCTGACTTTTGCCCTGCAATGGACTGATATCCCATCCAAGATGTAGTCCTATGTTTCCAAGAAAAGCTCCTGGTTTGCATTACCAGAATTGAGCAACTTTCTGATATCAGATGGATGATTAATAATAATGTCATTCTTAACACATTCCCAAAATAGATGTCTTGGAAAAGTATAAATGTAATATACCATAATTAATTAAAGAAACAGGGTTGCATCCACAATCAATTGTTCTGTAATGTATGGCTACACCTCACATGTGCAGTAAGCTAATAAAAAGCCTTGCCAAAAAAACATGCAAAGTAATCGTTCAATGAAGCCCAGTAGCAGTTGTATCACGTAATGATTAATTATTTCTTCCAAATAGTGAATATTTGGCTTATAGCTTTAATTCTGAACACTGTGCATTACTGAAAACTGAATGAAGTAATATAGTTAAATTTACTGAAAGGAAATTTAATAAGTATGAAGATAAAACTTTAATACTGTATACTGGCAGTTCACCAAATTGAGGGTATGAAGGTGGTTCCAGTTGAGTGAAATTAATATAGTATCTCGCTGGAAGACCACAGTAAGTATAAATCATGTCTCCAGGTTCCTTGATCGCTGCTGGGGAAGTGTAACAGGGTGGTTTTATTTTATTTTTTTATACAGCATCATTTTAGTTTTACAGTATTTGCATTATAGAACATTAATAGTTATGGTTTGATTTAATAGAATTTAAAGTTCCAAGTAGAATACCTTTAAAGATTTAAATATGGGAATAAATAATCCCCAAAATCTGTAATAGTATGCTCCAAGACTTCTCTTTTTCAAACAAGAATAAGGGTATGTGGTATACTGTATATGCTTAATAAAGGGATCAAGGAGCAGGAGGACTCAAAGATACAAGCTACAAGGATGAGAGAATGTCACTCACAGATACAAATGAACACTAAGTAGAAAGTGCTAGGAGGGTAGCCATTAGAGAAATACTAATGTGAACTTCTGTCAAAAAGTTAGAAATAAAAGGATTTGATAAACTGTTCAGAAAACATGATGTCATGTGGACTATTTGTGTGTAAAAACAAATCAAGCAAAATTACTAATTTTGTTAAATTCACATCTGAACATCCACTTCTGTTGCATTTGTTAAAATGTAAAATGCAAAAGTGTATTTTATAAATGACAGGGCACTCTTCAGCTTACATTAAAGAAATGGTATTAGAATGGTCCTAACATTAAAAAATAAGCGAAAGAGAGTAATTTCAATCTTTATTTTTACTACACATTCAAACCATTTACACGAATCTTCACTTTTAAAAGATTTACCTGAACTCTTTATGGAATGTAGATAATAGCCCTTGACAAAAGATACATTGAAAAATCTTTCACAAGTTCAACCACTGATCTACCAGCTACTGTACTTAATTTTCTTTTTGCTCTAACAATTAAAACCATAATGTACAGTATTTTATTTACATTTAAATAACTAAAGAGGTGGTTGTGCCGGAATTCTACAATGGGTCTTCTACAAGCATCAGTTGGAAAGAGACACGTGTTTATATTTATAAAATGTATAAACAAACTTAATAAAAATCTGCAATAAGACAGACACAGTCCAATCTTTAACACAGTATTTCTATTCTTTAAAGTACAAAATCAATTTTCAGTTCAGAAAAAAAATCTATTAAATGTTCCAGACATGATTCCATGATTAAGTACAAAAAGACCACATTAAGGGCCTCATACTGTACATCAACACTTGCATTTATATAATAATGCAGTTGTACCTTCAGCTTACAAAAACTTTTCACACACACTGGATAGAACAGACTCATTCCTTTTGAAGTCTCTCGCCTTTTAATTGATTCTGTTCTAACCTTCAGGCCTCCTTCAAAGTTAATTTTTGATCTGTCTGAATTACATTAATTCACTTAAAGCTGCTAAGAAAAGTGACTTTCAGAGTTTCCAGAGAATTATCCTTGTGTCAGTTTTGACAATGTTGATGAATGAATTTCAGTGTATTTGGAATTCAAGCTTCCATCAATCATCCATTGGTTAATGTCAGAAAATCAGCTTAAGCTTTCCTACTTTTCTAACTATTAGTCTGCAGCAAACCTTCCTGCAGTCTCTCATCAGATATAGGAGAGGCCTAATAAGGAAGTTTAAGTGATTTACCTGTTCTGTAACTGTATAAGGAAAGATGTCAGAAAGCAAGTAGGATGTGAAAATAACTACTTTTTAAGCCTTGTGTACAGTATGAAGTCAAGATGTTTTGAAGCCAAGTTATTTGTACAACAAAGAGTATGGTAATAAATTGGGTCAAGCAGAACAAAACTAATTTAGCTTGGCCAGAGGGTAATAACATCTTTTTAATGAACAGAAACTACAGTCCTGCAAGAAAACTAAATACAGTAGGTTGTTAGTGGAAAATGTTTTAGATGTAATTTGGAGGATGCTCACCTAGGCTCACCATGGAGGCATAACAGTGTTACTAATGGGGTTATCTCTTTCTTTCACTGTACTTCTTCCACTTCTGAAAGATTTTTCTTTGAGAATTCTTTGGGAGGTATATTTGTTGGGGGTACCCAATAAACAGTAAATATATTTGTTCTGTAGCTGGGTTTCATGGTCTGAAGTATTTAAAATGAATGAAAATGTGTTCACTGAAAACTGAAAAATAATTCATCCCCTAAACTTCCTCTTTCATGTGTCTAAGTCCATTCCATGTACAGTATAAGTTATTTATAAAAGAGGGGGAAGCGTATTTCCTGGAACCTTTCAAGAAATGAATAAATGAGTTCCACAAATCAATAAGCTACTAGCAACTAAACAAACACAATGAATCAAATGATTTCCTCTTGTCTGTACATTAGCATGCTGATGTAATTTTCATGATGCTGCAATACTCCCATATGATTTCCATGTTTATCCCTATATTCAATGTGGGTCCCACAGCACAAAAAAAGCTCAATATGAACAATACGATTTCTATGATATCTCTGAATTCACCATTTCAACAATATGGAAAATATGAAGGAATTTAATGTTAATGAAAAGCATGATAGCTCCTGGATAGAGAATGATCAGACTGCTGTGCACCATAACAGAGGGGAAAGCTTTGAGAGGACATGCCAGAATGCAGTGGAATTAGAAATCCAGACACCAGGTATATTAATATATTGTTACAGCTATTGGAAGAGGCAGTTGATGTGTTTAAGAATTTGGAGACAATGATCAAGACCTGGCTAGTGTCAACATTTTCAGTTCTCGGGAGCAAGAAAGGAACAGAGGTGTTTGTTAAATGGTAAGGCGTCTGAGACACATCGATCAAAGGAATTGTGTGGTTTAACCCAGTTAACTAAGTTCTGGGTAACTTATAAAGAGTCATCAACAGTCGAGGAACAGAGGATATAAAAGGTGGTAAGAGAGAAAGATTCAGAGAGAGATGGGAGAAGATGGACAGCGAGACACGAGGAGAGAGAAGAAGAGACAACGACAGGAGGGTTGTCTTTGTTCCAATCAGCATTTAAGACCAGATTCGAGTTAAAAGTCCTAACAGTCTTAATTCCCACG